ATTCATCAACCCTATGAAAATGTATCCAAAAATAATCTACAGATGCAATTAACCCAAGATTAGGTGCATGGGGGATGTCTCGAACACGAAAACTCCATGCTTCTCAAATGGAAAACAGAATCCCTCGGCCATTTGTGGGTTAATTTACCATTAAAAAAAATACTAGTCTTTACATAATCCTTCAAAATACTTGAGTCTAACCAGTAAGAAGTGCAATTTTTATATAAGCATATCCCGAGTAGGCTGGCTGGTACTTTTCTTTCTTTTCTTCGTGCAGTCTGCAAATAAAAGAAAAGAGAAACGTTAATTGCATCTCGTAAACAGATAAGTAGATACTGGTGGGTACCATTGGCTAAGGTTGATATCTTAAAGCTCCCATTTTACCCCAATGCTCAAAGACTCGTACACCACGTTATTTCTACAACTCGTATGTTCTAAGCAAAAGCTTCTACCAAGGAAGGAGCTTTTGTCTCAGGAAAATAGCTTGTACTCACGGCACGCGCGAGCTTTCTTGTTCCTTGTATAGGATACCACGATCCTGAGATAAAAGCTTGTGACTTTCTAAGAACGAGTAAGGTACCGTGCTCTCTTTCCAGAAGCGAAGATATATCATATTTCGTCGAAAGCTCGATCATGGATGATTGCTGAAGAAAATCTACTTTCGTTTACTACATATATAGATAATATATATGATAGATGGGTAATTTATATAATAGATATGCCGCTAACAATGGCGTATATAAATATATTTTTAACAAGAGTATTTATCAGAACTTTTTTTCTTGAGTATTGGCAGTTATGAGGACTCTCGACGTTTTTCAGAACGGACCTGATAGCATCTTGATACCTAAGGTATACTGTCAGGACCATAAAACGGCACTCACACCGAATTTCCCAAAAAAAATTTCATACACTCGGAGTTGTGACAGGCTAAAAAATGGTTTCGTTAGGATAAATTAGATTAGAACTCCAATGCCACATGTCTCAAGGTACATTTTTTTTAGAGGAAAAAAATATCGGCTTGCCATTGTGAGTGCAACACGTCCTCATAACCACACTTTGACGAGTTTATATATGTACATTTTTTCATAACCATTATCCGAACGCATTCTGAATTCTTAAAAAAAAAAGGATATACATAGCTATATAATTATAAGTACCAGTGGAAGAGAAGAGCTCTTAATATCGTCCTTAACAAGTTTACGAAGAAACCCATATTTGAAAAGCACACCTAATTATTTATAAAAGAATTAATAATATGCTGTAACTCCATGTAAATTGTCAAAATTCATTATTCATTCCTTGATATATACGGTGTGATGTTAAGGGTGGAATAAGGAAAGAAAAACAGAGTTACACATTCGGCATGAAAACGCGTTTACCTACTTTTTACTCACGCGGAATGAATGGGGTGTAATAGGGTACGTATGCATACATATATAGAGGGTGCACCAGTCCGATGGAAATAGCTGGATCGCAGAAGCTTTTAAGGCAGCCTGTACCTTCACAATATTTAGCCGGTTGCGGCATTCCAGCGTACCAATTCGTCAAACCGACCTGATAGGAAATGAGCTTCCGGATGAAATAAGACGTGCGTCGAATGACAACTTGGGATTTTGGAAATGGTATGTTTGTGAGCTTTGTGAAAGCTTAGCTTGTCAACCATCGAGTCACATAGTAAAACCATCGGTCAGTGTCATTCCAGACGCGTTAATAACGCCGTGTATTGTTGTGGCGTTTGGTTTTCCACTGGAATCTCTGTGCTTTTGGCATTAAGCTGAAGTATGCTTTATTGACGAAAACCTTTTTGTGGTTCTGAAAGAAATAAAAAGATAGAGAATGAAGACAGGAACGTAGCGGAGGAAGAGACAGAAATGGGAACGAGTTTCGTGAAGTCGTTTTTCATTGTTCACAAAAGTTTTTCATGATTTTTCTTATTGCTATGTTTTTACTGTTCTTTTTTACTCTAATAAAAGTCCTGACGAATTAACGCGCCGAGAAAGTCTGGTATGAAAGGATCAAGTAAAGTTACGCAAGGTTAATTGATCGCCTACGATATGAACGATCATGTGAGATGTGACATGCGTGGATTAATTAAAAGTTTATTTGAGAGAAGATGAAGTTTTCTTTTTCTTGGAGAGTACGGTCGATGTCATAATTAATGACAAAAAATAGCATATTCCTTGACGATACACTTACAACGATTCTTCCTCTCGAAACTTGCGCTTTAATTATAAAAAAATATTCATGAAAATTCCTTAAGGCTAAATATAGACGCGGTTATTGCAACTTTACAACCAGAAACTTTCTTAACAGTATTTTCCACCCTTTGGTATAATCGTGGGATACTCTGCTTCATTCCCATGGGAATCATCTTCATTTATTCTTGGATAAAACCCGTGTAACAAGGCTTGCATTTATTATCGAGCTACCTCAGGATAGGCTTTAAAAAAAAAAATTTCATTTTCCCATAACGAGCTAACGTTGGACGCTACTTATCAAAAAAGTGGAATCAGCTTATTGCTTAAGGACGAGACTAATCTACACGAGGCACGTATATTCTTCCGATATTACAATAATTCATCTTAATTGTACAATTGATGGACAATCACCATACATTTCCCATGGGAATGCCACAAGATTAATGTAATAGTGAGGGGAACTAAAAAAAATTTATAAAGGTACGTAAATACGTGCATTCTTTTTTTTTAGAAATAACAAAAGAATTCTTCTCCCAATGGCACTTCAAAATGCATCAAAAACTCTTCGAGTCTCACGCTAGACGCTACATGAATTTAACTCCCAGTATTAGCATAAATCAATAGGACGAGACATTTGAATTACTCCAAGGACCAAAGTATAATTCCGCCCAGGCCAATAGATTAGTATATGTATATCACATTTGAGATTCAGAATATTTAGGGGATTATCGATTAAGTAATCATTAACAAACTTTGCATCAACATTTCCCATCTTGCTTAACACTAATATTATAGCATAAATACATAACGGCTCCTGGAATTAATTTTAAGTGAAAAAAATAACTTCACCCCCTTGTGAGATTTCCATGATCAAAGTCAATAGGGGATCGATTAAGATTCATCATTTTTATTCATTAACTTACCAGACATACAAATACTTAATGACTGCGTGTATCGTGCAGGTATAATTTTACGAGTTAATTTACAGGGGGAAAAAAAAATAATGAAATCGAGCAACCCTATTAGAACCAGCATGCTTTTACGGTCTCGTAAAGCTCAATGATTTAATGTTTTCTATATAGCAAATTGCCTTTTCCCGAGCAACCCTGGCGCTTTTATAAATTAGCCAATAGCGCATTGCCATTTAAAATCAGTATGTACAATATTTGGAATCTTTATTAATACAAATATTGTATGAACGCATAAATTCGAAACTTTAACATCAAGCTCTAGGAATTACGTAACTCGTGAATTTGCCTACCTATAACGCAACGGTGTTCAACAGGTGTTGAACAACGGTAGTCCATTGTGTACACGGTAAAAATACAGCAATGAACTGCTTGTTTGCAAATACTTGTATATTTACATTCATCCAATAGAAAGCCTGTTTTTCATTGTGCAAATTATTGGCAGCTAATAAAAATACACGAGATGGATACAATTTCGCTTTATCGTACGTAACGGTGATAAAATTAGCGCGAAACAACCAAAGTGAAGGAAAATGTGTTCGAATATCCATTGTGAGGGTTATTATTTCTAATTGCCTTTGGATTATTGGTTAATTCTATTTCCAATATATCGATCTAACAGTCCTAGCAATTTCGAGCTTAGTAATTTAGTTAATGGAAAACAAGAGAATCGTCTCGAAACTCGCTGCAGCGAATGCCAATAATGAGATTTTCTAGGTACAGCAGAGGATCGGATTGCCGCGCTAATTTAAACCGAGCTTTATTATTTTCAATTAACTAATTTATCGATCGCTCGGCGACGCTCTTTTCAGTCTGGCATTGAGAACTATATGACTTGAATTAATAGTAAAATATTAATTACCTCTTGTGCTAATAACGTGTATGGATATTGGGTTGGCATTAAATAATTAATTCACGTGTATTCGAAAATTATAATCATACAAATTGAACATCGTGTGCTTCCCACGTATTTGCATATTATCATTTCAATATACAAAGTATTATACACGGTTTAGCAATCATTGGTATTACAGTGACGTTATTGTAAATTAGAAATGGGTAACCAGCCAATAAATCATTCTTAGAATTAAATAAAAGTCATAACTTTGTATTGATCTGTACATTGTCCTATTATTTTATTAAGATTTTCATCGATCTTATAATTCATTATGGGGTATATTATTCAGTATTCAATGATTGGGATAGAAAATTTTGTAAGGTAGCCAAGTACAGCTTATAAACTACTTTAAATGTAAAACGATAAAAGCCAGTTCGCTTATGGACGAGATTATAGTACTTTGTAAGTTATTGCCAGGTTCGACGTAGAAGCGACGACGGTGATGACGGTAATTCACTATAAATTTGAATTTCATTGAGAAAGGTCCCCGAAGCGGAAGCAGCAAATTATTCGACAAGTTGTAGAGAAAGTTGAGACAAGTTTTTATACGCGAGTGAACAAAGTCGGGGAGTTAACGATAATGGCCGTAAAATGATTTTGAGAAAGATTCGTTATCGGACTCGCTCGTGTCAAATTAACCTTACAGGAAGTGAAGCATAATATTTTAAATCAAACAGAAGTGGCGAGGGGAGTTTGTTGATTAGTGGAAACTTTTGTTGCAAAAGACGAGGAAAAATAATTGTCAAAGTTGATCAAAAGTTACTCGAAGAAAGTTTTTCAAAGTTTTTAATAAGTGCGGACTGGAATGAAGAAAATTTATTTTGTAAATATTGCGAAAAGTCATATTTCAAGAAAATCGAATTACAATCTTGACAATCTGTACGATATTCTCGACGCTCGATATTTTACACGATGAAAAATTTATTATTTCAGGTTCGATAAGCAACATCGATGGTGCCGAGTATCACTGCAACAAGACAGCAGTAAGGAAAGTAATAAGCGGTGTGGTGGGGGCTGCAAGTTCCGTAACGTCGATTCAGGTGGCGAATCTACTTCGTCTCTTCAGGATACCACAGGTGAGCGTAAAAATAAGTCTGCTCGACTTTCAAGAGAAAGTCAGAAAAGTCGGAAGCTAATTTTCCACACTGTCGCGTAGCTTTCCTATAGGCAAACTCCCTCAAGGTGAGCTTACATACAGACGCGATTCTCAAAGTACGAAACGAATTAGTTATCTGAATAATTTACAGGTATCAAAGATAAAAACAGCTACCGCAAATATAGTCAAAGGTAAAATCCTAGAATATTCCGTAAGGACTTTACCCTTCTCGCATAGGAAAGAGAGAGAGAGAGGGAACGAGGGAATATCTATTTCTTAACGACTATGTAACGGGTGGTGTTATTATTCAGCTGACAGTCAACCATAAGACTCTATTCCGGGATAAGGAAAGTCATGGAAGGAGAAAGTAATGCTCCAGAGTCATCTCAGCGTAAAATCGTCTTACCACTTCTGTATCTTCTATCTTTTACCGCAGGCAGACTTCCACGGGAATGACAATGCGGTACTTATTCACAATAACTTCTCAAACGAAGTCAGTAGGGTAGAAACCCGAAGCAATGACAATAAGAAAAATTGAAATGTCTGAAAAGTATTTTTAAATTCGTTATAAGCCCTGACCCTAAGGGACCATACAAAAAATTTCAATAATACAGACAATTCTTAGGAACATGTAGACGCTATAACAGGAATTGGAAATTTGAAATTTTAAGACGTTTCACCAAATTCGACTATACTTATTGATCAATAAGAAATGCCAGATACAAGTATTTAGAATGCTGTGTTATGTAAGTGAACACTAATGCATGAATTAATTGCATGAAGTCATAAGCCAAAGTTACATAAAAAGTATATAAGATTTTCAAGTAATTCAGAATGATTTGTAGAATTCAGATGGGAAATACTATACTGGGAAAAGTAACTGAATGAGGGAAAAAAGTTAAAATAGGAAATTAAAGTAAAGGAAGAAACGAAGCTTCGTTACTTTTCTAAGAGGGGCATTTAGTTAAATTATAACGACTACAATAATGTTAACTATCCTTGTGAATTCATCTCGAGACCTATAAATTGCGTCGGATGACAACCGATTTGGAATAAGGACCTGATTGTGGTGATGTATTCTTTTTATTTATTTTTTGCACAGTGATCTGTATGTGGTGGAAGCTGAAGTGTAACTCTAAACCAATTTTTAAAAGAGCCTCATGGGCGAAATTTCTACATACATGGGAGAGGGCAGACCTTTGGTACCATGCCTTGGATCTTTTCTTGGAATGAGGACATGGGTTTTAATTTGTCCTGGACAAATCTTGGGTTTCCCCTTCACGCGATGCACGAGAAGAGCGCTGATCTAGTCAGCGAAGACTTGCAGACTTTTCAGGTCTCGTTGGTTGACATGTACCAGACTGTTCTATCGAAATACCAGAACTGAAAAAGACCAGCAGAGCCCTCTTTATTCGATTGCTAGTCATTATCAATTCTACAAGATATAAGAAAGAGTACAAGGTGGTTCCTTGGAATGTATACGTGAAAAAATAATACCTGTTAACTGTCTGGCAATATCCATTGGTATTCATAATAACATAAAAATACATAGGTATGGTGAATGCTGGATGCTGTAGAAAATTTTTATACTGGCGATACAATTGTTCAAATTTGATGATACTGAAAATGAATGAAAGGAAGTATTAAATTAATTTTTTTTATAAAGTATATGATACCGATGATCGAATAATATCAGGATACAATTCAAGAAATAAAATATTATTCAATAAGTTAACACTGTTTGATATTCATATTAAAAACAGACGGTAACGTCTACTTTTTTATGTAAATCGTAAAATTCTCTACCTTTCACGATTCCGTCATACTCGTATTCTTCCTCCGTGTGCTTTCATCAGACGCCATAAAGGATTAAAGGATCTCGCTTCTTTTTTTTTTTTCATTGAATTTCTTTCACTCACGTTTCACTCCACTGACAATGTAATCTCTCGAATCCTGTGAAAGAAGAAAAATACAAGATTACGACGGGAAAGATCGAAATACGCAAATCTGCATTCAGCTCGCATGCATTCCTTGAAATTTATGCTGCGCCAGAGTAAAGCCCTCAAGCTTAAAGATCTCGTAAGATATCCAACAAAGCAGAAAAGCAGCAAAAGATGTAAATTTCAAAAATACAAAAAAAAATTCATACAATTCTATATTTGAAATGGAAAAAAAATACTACGGAACACTTCAACGTTATAGAACTCATGTAGTATGGAATCATATGTAGCATACGTTACATATCCAGTTATCACAATTTCTACGAATTTTTATCGACGCACAGGAATAACACAGACATCTTCGCGATTCTGAAAAATTCTTCCTGGACCCGTGTCCAGAAGAGATAAATATGTAAACGCACTGCCTAGAAAACAGATATTTCTTATGACAAATAAATCTGTGTGACTGTAGAAAATCTACAGGAGTAACATTTTCTATTCCTTTTTCTATCTGAGCTTCAGAAACGACAAGATCCCATGTATGATGGATATTCATCTCTCTTCTGAGAATTTCACGTCTTAAGTTCGGTCCATATGTATAAAGTGCGAATTCGCACTGTTGCCAATGGAAAGCCACTACCTAACTTGGAGAACTGGCGATTTTTTCATTTTCCGCGGCTTCCAGCTTATTTCTCTCTATAATCCATAGATACGTGTACATATGTATGTATCAGTCTCATCAATCATCGAGTCTAGGTAAACTCCCCAGTGTAGGATGAAGCACGCAGTACCGTTATTACTCTTCATCATCTGCATACACACTAACCCGACTGTACACATAAACCCTGTTAGGTCATCCAGTACAGCTACTGCTGCGGTAAGGGCACTTGTTATAGCACGGTGGTCCATTCCAGCATCTTGGAAAAATTACAGGACAAGGCCAGATTGTATTTGTTTTTTCTCTTCTCCAGTAAAGATCAGAATTTATAGCGTTGGGTAGTAAGGGTTGGCGAGATATACCTGTAGTAAGGGGTAAAGTAATCCAGAAGACTTCGTGGCTCGTGATACGAAAATAATTTACGGTCTTTGGGCTAAAGGATCGTCCTTCTTGTAAAACAATCACAAGTACCGCTCCATTGTGCTGCTAGCAGTAAGTTCTGTTGAAGAAAATAAAGTTGGATTATTTGAGAACATCGCAAGATGGTATAAAAGAACATTCAATTTGAGTAAATAACTCGAGCATCCATTGGCATTCCTGCTTTGATCTTTACTGAGCTTTGTTCCATTTCGCTCAGTAGATTCGCAAGTCATTTCTGTTTAATTTTAAGACTATGTTTTCCCAGACATTACACTTGGTTCAGAAATTAGAATTCCACATCACGTATTTGAAATTGTGTTACTATTGGCCAGAGAGACGCGATAACGTGAATGCAGTGCAAAGCGAGTAGGAATTGTACGTTATTTAGATAGCCATAATCGAATGGCAAATACAATATTGAATTTTGTTAATGAAAAATTTTATGAATTTTCATTCCTAGAAATTATGAGTATTTTTATACTGATTAGCTCTATAAGCAGCATGATTGGTTATCGTATATCGTGCACCGAGCTATACAGCTGAGACGTACCAGCTAAAGTTGGTTTTAGCATAGGAATTAAATGGAAAGGCTAATGACAGTTGGTGAGCTATGATTGAATAGCAGTACATATATGTATAGTATATGACTGACATAAATAAGATAAACCGTTTTCGATTCTTTTTTTCAATTTTCCAATTTTCATCTCCAAACCAATTATTTCTTTTGACACTTTTCTTTTACGTTGATCTTGTCCATTCAGTTTCTTCACTTTACATTCTTTATCCCTACAGCAAATTGGGTCTAAACGGTTCTGATATCGTGAGATTTACGCTTTATACGACAAAAGCTCTGAAAGCTTCAGAGAATCGAAAAGGAAAAATCATGAGACCGTTTCGGATTCAAATGGAACGGCGTCTCATATGAAAACACGAAGAACAGACAAGAAGCCACTAAAACGATTTCATGGCAGATTTTCCCAAGATTTTTGGCAAATCTCGTGAAGAGGATCCCAGACCAGATATCGATCTAAAAGAGAAAAGGCAATTCAGTTTAATTTCAAGGAATTATCTCAACGAAACGGAAACTATTCATTCCCATGCAAAATATATCCCCAAGTAGATTTCATCCCAGCGAATATCAAGAAGAGCCGAATAATTTCCATAATACCTAATAAAAGATAAAATAAAATCTATCGTTCTATCCCTAAAACTTTGGCAGCAGACAAATCGTTCGTTAACGAGATCTTTTACATAGAACTTTCATGAATTAATGATTTCCCCATTCGACAGGAATAAAACGATAAACTAAAATGTCAGACACGAATCCACAATACAATGCGAATTGGTAGACAAAAAATGAATACAAATATGATCTCATTTTTATGATCCATTAAAATTCGTTATCTACAGACTACAGAAGCTCCAAGGATACAAAGCTCTTAGGAAAAGCAGCAAAGGCGAAGGATCAAAAAGGATCCCTTGCTTCAATTTCTCTTGAGTGAATCTATGTCCGAAGTTAATTACGTTTCTTCACGCTGTAGCAATGTGATCCCATGATAGGTGATACTGATAACAAATACTCTCCTTATTTATAAAGACCCCAAGCAAAACCCATTATAACTCTTTCAATCGTTGACACGAAAAAAAAATCCCTTTAATCCTATCAGATTATTAGCATCATTAAACTTAGGCTTGCTACACGCTCTCCGAAACAGGAAGGTTTTCCATAAGTAACCTTACACTCACGAGACTGTATAACTTGCAGATTAATTATGAAAAGTACTCCTAGAGAGTCTCGTGTAGAAGCATAAGAGCTTGTTAGAGCGAGTAGGGTTGGCAAAAGTTCCTGTAACGTGTTTCAGGAAACTATAATTAAATTACCCAAGTGTAGTGGCAGAGGTACAGGATATTTCATACGTGGAATGACATTAGGTAATCCGCGTAAGTCTGATAACATGAATTAAGACGGGTCAATTAACCAAGGCCTTGAATTTAATAATTCAATATGCACGATCACACCCGCCCTATTGTTAGCATCTGGTATTGGCATTTACCCCCATCCTCTTCCACTCAGCACCACCCTTCAGCTTTACCATCACACCCAGTTCAATTTTTCTCAAATTTCTGATTCCATCAAATCCATAATTCGTGAACGTATACAGTACGTTTCAATCAAAAATTGATAGCCTGATATTGTCGGACCTGAAACAAGAAATATATACGTTTTAGCTCTGATAATTAATACATTGAATTTTAGGAAATAAAGTCTGGTTCACGTAATGTCTGCATATTATATTCTGTTCACGTCAGTTATTACATTCCGACTATGATACACGTTACATTAATGGATAATCCACAGGACGCTTGCCATTCTTCAATGATTCCTGACTGGAATTCATGATATTAATTCAATTTTGTACGATATATGAAATGGCATATCGATATATCTATTGACAAATATTAAAAGTAATTATAGTTAGTTTGTACAGAGTAAATTATTGAAAGGCTAAATCGAACCTATTCATACCCGATTTCTGCGAACTTCGAACATCACTCTTTAATCGTAAATTGAAAACGTAACTTGAGAGATTGAACTGATAGAGAAATAAAGGATTCTATTTCCTATAATAGAAAAGACATTTAATTACGTAAATTAAACCCTTGAATATGGAATTCCGACTTCACGACGTCTGATCTCATAAAGCGATTGTCGATAATCGATAGCAATTTTATTATCGTCACTTTTTATTCTTTATCATAATCACTCGTACTTACGTTCAATCTTGAACTCGTGCGAACGTAAAATCGCCTTATCAACTAATATCCAATGTCCATACCCCCTTTCCCAGTCTTCTTTTTCATTTTCATTCATTCTTTTATTTCCATACCACTATAGAAACTGCGGATTCCTCGTGAGAATTTCCACGGGGGACAAAGCAACACGGGGAATTAAATATCGATTTATACGATATCGGAGTTCGAGCAAAGACCTAACTTAGACACAAATTATACCTATATATGCATAATATGCATTGCATATATATAGTTCACATAATAGCATGAACACTGTAAATTGAATCGATCTCCAAGACCAACAGAAGGTTAATGCATTATAAATATTTCTATTGGAATTGAATAATTTTCTATCTCTATCCTGATTACCTACTTATTGCCATCTCCAAATGAAATGTAGAACTCGTTAAAAGTATTGAACGAGTGAACGATGTACGAAGATGATTGATGTTATTGATATTGATGTGAACGAAGTAGTGAACGATGCACAATTTCTTATAGTTAAAGAAAATTGAATTGATTCTATTAAAAAAAAAATTTTCCATTTACTATCAATCAATACATCTATTGGACCCGCATTGGATGAAAATTCTCGCATCAATACTCACATGTTTACAAATCGAGCAACGATAAACAATAATGGCATCATTAATAAAATCAATAAACACCCGTATTAACTTTCGAAGGGAATACGGGTTGGAAATGCGGTCTGTTTCAATAAAACAATGAAAAGCCACATATGAAAACATTCGAAAATGGAATTAAAGCGTGGAAATGCATTTCCAATAAATAATTCGCAGTCGACCTAAATATCTTAATTACACGGATTCGCGCATGCATAACAGCAAAGAATTATTTACCCTATTCTCGTGCACTGCTTTCATTCTAAAAGTACACAGAAAACGTACGTGGACCGTTAAATTGGTATACAAATTCGAACTTACCTACATACGATTTGTGTGAACTTAAAGAAGAGACCACCTGTGACTAAAGTGGTTACTTACATAAGGGATAACTTTCACCCTGTCCGGCTTTCCCCCAAACGGCCGACAGAGACAAAAGCCCAAGTGCGTATCTATAAACTAGTACGAAAGCCATTGTTCCACATCGTCCAAGGAGCCCACAAAAGGTCATGTAGTTCCAGAAGGATACCGGGGTCGCTAAAGTAAAGTCAGCAACTTCAAATTTGAGTAGCCATCGAGTACGCGATATTCGCATATCCCAAAATCTTTAGTATTCTCAAGCAGCGACAAAACACCAATTTCCAAGTGTCAGACCAAAGCTCGTAGACCTGTAACCATATGAATAAGCAAGTGCGTATAATTAGCCTCGTTTCAGGTACATTAAAATGCCATTGACACTAATGAATAAATGGACGCGCAAATGTATAAAGCATTAAACCTTAATTTTCTAACCTGGCAATAATCCGAAGCGTTACGAGTAAAACGTTGAAATCGAATTATATGAATTTCAAAGTAAAATATCTACCAGCCAAAATGACGTCCGAAATTTTCCGTAATAATTTGATGCTCGAGTATTTTAATGCTTCGTAGAACCACGGATCTACCAACTATTATACTGTATCTATAGCAATCGATACTCTGCAAGGCATTACCAATGATCATTACAGTCATCCACAGAGTATATTAGCGACACGTTTCGAGGATAATGACGCGTAACTAGAACCAGTGACAAACCGACTAACGCTTGTACGGATACCAACCGTATTTATTCCAGTATATCGAGAATGTCTGGCAGCTCCAATTTACCTCTGGTCTCTTGGAGTGTCGACCAGCGCTGATCAATTAATGGAAATGGAAGCAGAGTGTTCACGATACGAAGGACAATTACCAGCCAATATTGGGCACACAGAACAATTGCGCTAAAAAATATGAAAGAGCAGAGTACGCTAAGAGGAAGATTTTAAATTCGAAATTTCGGATTTCGGTATACCACTGTATATATTCTTTCGTCGAATTCTCTTTTTTTAATGATTCCAAAATTTTCCTCGACTTTAAGAACATATGAATAAAATGACACACACGGTTACTCGTAAAAGGACCAATATCGACCCATTCCTGACAGCCAGACACTATTGTTATCCTCTCTAAGGTTTTTACGAGCCACCATATATATACTGAAAGGGATAGAAAGCCGAGCTGACTGAACTTAACCAGGCACAAGCTGCTAGATTCCACTATATATATGCATATGTGTGTGTGTGGAATTCGAAATCGTAAAAGCAGCCTGACATTTGCCCTAGCTGGAGTAAATAGGCGGAACAAGCGATAAAGTTTCCAAAGGGAGTGCAGAGGTCTGACTAACGAAAAATTGTAAGGGTTACGTAGAAAAACAAAAGATTTTCTTTTCTCTTTCTATATGTATATCCTAAAATTAACTTGGTTGACAAAATAAATACAGCTCGATGTTCTTCTTGAATAAAGTCTATGCACAGTATTGTTTAGTACCATTGAGAAAGAACTATGGGGTCTGTCGATGATCCGCGGATAGTTCCTAACTTGGCCTAAGCCAACGATGAAAAGGGATCAATGTCTTAAAGACTGACAAAACGTGATAAATATATTTATGGACAAAATGGCGAAGGGATGAAAGATTATACGATATAAGAGGCTACAGTCCTGGTCGCTATGAATGACAGTCGATAACGTTGACTCATTTCTCGCTACATAAACTTGCAGGTAGCAAAGAAGTAATCGTTGTTCGCCATTTTTATCCTGAAGAACTTGACGGGTATATACTCGACAGTGAGATAAAACGATTGTGTCCTTCGGTTTCCGTTTGGCTGGACCTTCTGACCTTGTGAATTATATTGCCCTTTGAGGAAATTGGATACTCGCCCTGGGATTACTCTCTGAAAACTGTCTGTATATGTACGTGTCTATGTCCGTGTGTATACATATATATATACATAGTGCCATACAAATACATAAACTGAATTTCAAGATGTCTTCAGGAACTTCACGATCAACGTACATAAGATCGCAGAAGAAAGTCAAGAGAATCACGTTTTATTTATTTTTTCCTCGCATACGAAACGCTACCAGTAAAGATTATCGTGGATGTTGAACCGCACGATAAAAAATATTCAACTTCCGACTAAGGGATGATTGAAAAACCCTAAAAATGTCCTGAGTACTATCATAAAGTATACTTTTATCTGGGATGGTACGGTGAGACATCAACTATACGTGTATACCGTGTGTGTATATAGATAACCAGTTATAAGTCAGAGATTTTAAAAAATCCTGACAAATCAGTCGATAGCAAATGACTCTTACAGAACTTCCAAAAGCTTATAAATGAAATATATATATATATATATGGACTTGCATATATCTATACCTGAGTGTGAAATGTCACAGAATCGACTATAGTACGTTACATAAGTCAAAATTGATAATATCGCAAAAATGGCCTCATTCTTGCCGACTCAAGATCAGACATTTATTTTTCCTTCTGACCCGCATAAAATAATCGCTTTCCAGAACGCTCCTACATTATTATTCCATTCTGAAATACGAGCATTTTCTCGTATCTCCAAGCGAATCCCTACCGAAGGGAATTCGCATGGAAGACATTTAGCTGGCCGAGCACGAATAATATACCGAAAAATTTCAAAATATCGGCCATTCAGCAAAAAGTCATGATCTAACAATGATCGGTATCCTACGAACCATTATTCATTACCTTTTATTATTATTTCGCTTCTATTCCCTTAGTCCCTTAAAGCTCTGCTCAGCAGTATTCTCGTTGAAAATTGTTAAAGCGATCGACCAGAGAATGAACCGCAATGTTCACAAAGTGGAAAGGCGTAACGGCATTACTCTCGTTACCGGGGATTGGCATGGTATTGAGTTACCGGTTGGAACGGATTGCATCGTAATTGTAAACGCATCTCGTTATACCACATTTCAGAAAATCTCTTTGTGCACCTTAAAAGCCTTGCAATTTCATTTGTCAAATCATTCCGAATGACACCCGTGCAATCGTCAGTGCATATGGCTTCGTGTATAATTTTTAAGTGACAATATCGATTTTCCTGAAAAACAAGAATATTTAGCATAAAGCAAATATACTATATGTATTGGTATATATGCAAAGTGAATGTTAAATATGTAAGATATCATTGACTCAACTTACTGGTTTCTAGCATGAAGTTGAATCAGATTCCAAAGCAAGAAGCAAACTTGCTTGAATTCCCATGCCGAGAGAAGCGTTTAATCTGGTCTGAAATTCTGCTAGAACTCAATTGATTCTCTTGAATCTTCTTGGACCTCTTGATTGGGGTACTTGAGTGTGACCCCATTCGATCTACCAATTGGAAATTTGACCTCGACGTTGTTCTCGTAATTAGGGGAATCTGTAAATCTTGGGTTATTCTTACTCTGGCCGAGAGTAAACATAAATAATATACTGTTTCCAGACACTGACATTAATAGCTGCGTACCAAACCTAACCCAACGACCTAACAACCATGGCTACGGGTAATGATAAAGCAGACTACATTATTAGCAAGAGCTGGTAAATTTTCTTAGAAAGTTTCCAGCCTCTTCTCAAGGATTATTCGTATAATGAAGGTGTATTCGACATAATAATACATTTCCAGGCGGTTCTTGTTACTCGTTAACTAATTAGTATATAATTTTGTTGCGCAGAAGATAATTTACGTATTTGCTCATCGAGTTGTCCTAATGTCCTATTTACATTTTTTTTATAACGAGCGTAAACGACGATTTACAACGAAATATGCGAAATTAAATATTTCTACTGTTTGTTCTAGGTTTCCTTTTTTTCGACCAGTCCAGAGCTCTCGAACAAACAGAGATTCGAATATTTCACGAGGACTATACCCAGTGACCATTATCAAGTAAAAGCCATGGTGGACATCGTTCGCAAAATGGGATGGAGTTACGTTTCGATTATATACGAAGAGAGCAATTACGGAATAAAAGTAAGTAAACGTACGATATAAATGCGTGATTAAAACGCATATAGAAATACGCGTGAGTGCGAGAGGGCAAAGATAATTTATTGCGAAAAACTTGTACACTCACTGCTAAAGCAAAAGGTGTTGCCAGATATATATCGCATGTATCCTGACCAGTCCTGAATACAAGTTCAGTGCCTACGACACATTCGCCCTGGTAATTTACGCAAGACGCTGACTAATTGCTCCTGGCCTTTCATTTATCCGCCTAGCCGACGAAACGTGAAGCATATTTTTTATTTTTTTTATTTTCAAAAACGTCCCCACTTTAACGCGTCGAGTCAACGAAGGCCGCGGCGTGGTGACCCGAAAGACTGGGGTTACTTTTAAAGGGAAAAAATGGTTGATAAAAATCATCGTACCACTCTGACTTCACCCTCTTCCTGGGTCGAGGGGCAGAATCTAAAAGGCGCTATAGATTTTTACGTAAATGGGATATGTAAAACGTACAGAGAATGCAATTTCGGCGGTTTTCACGGGGAAAGCATAAATATATTTATTTATCGTCGCGCGATATTAAGGCGAGCACGTGAGCCACTATCGTATGCAAGTCCTGCAAAATTGCTAGTCGGATATTGAAAATGTTATAGTTTCAATGATTCGTCACGATTTCCAACACTTCACAAGTATAATTAATATTTTGGACTGACAGTTTATATAACGCAATAAAAATGTATCCTTAGAACTTTGTTTTCTTTAACCCTATAAAAATCATTCATAACTTTATTAACCATACCGTGTATTCGTACCATTTCCAATCGTTTATTAATCCGACCAAATAACAAACAATAAACTTGTAACGCCCTTGCCAACACAGAGACAGTATCCAATCCAAAGATAAATATCCACGGTAACATAGGATTGAATCGAATTTCAATAGGGTCTGTGATTCCAGTCTCATTAGTTAACGGACTAATGAAATTAGTCGTAGTCCCTTCTGCCAATAAGAACAATTATCGATTAAGCACTACGACCGTAGTGGACGTAAAGGGTGGAGGCGCATAGATGTTACAGCGATGCCAAGCGTTTCTATCCTTGAGATGCAAATTTTATTTTAATTCGTCGACCCTCAACCCAACCACTTACCGCCACCAGCGTAACCTAGTGAATATTTAGCAGTCACGGGATCATTTTCTCCTTTTTGCTTTCCCATTCCTACATCCCCTTCGTAATATTACTTTAAACTGAAGTTTTCGGCCTATTAATCACATTCCGCGAGGTCTTTCGCTTTTTTATATTTACGCTCAATCTCTGTCGATCTTTCTTAAAAATAAGTCCCAGGCCTACGGCGAAACAATATTTGATTTGTATCACGTAGCTTCCATCTGTCCCACGTGGAAAGTTCACCGCGTGAACAGCGTCCTCATCCGCCTGAACCCGCTGTCCCTTTCACGTGCCGTCGTGACGAGGAAGTAGACGTCCCCGATGTACGTGTCGTAAAATTTAATTTGGCACGATCGTCGCCGCGCCGTTTTTGAATCTCGAATCGATCGTCCCACGTCCCCTCTGCGATTTCGGCCGCTTGAATCCTGCAGGAAGATAAAGGAAAATAATAAAAGAGTAAGGGACAAGGTGCAGAAGCAAAAATACATATACCTTAGCGAATGCCGGGTCAAGGGTTATTGCTGAAGTTCATGCTGATTCTACTCCCTGCTGAATATGTAATACGCCCCAGCATGTAGAAATATTTGCCAGCTAAAATGCTAGGATGGTTTTCATACTTGCTCTTTGTATTATTCACGCTTACCAAGGTTGCACGTGAAACTGGTTTAATTGAAAAATATGCACGGTCTGCCCTCCTCTTCGTGTCTTGAAAGCCGCATCCCTGTGTCATATTTCAGATATATGCTTTTAGCCCGGGTTTTTCAACGCTATCAAGTATTCATGAGATTTATGCGAGCGATGCAGATGGCCGAGCAGCTATGATATTTCATGGAAACTTTCGTGATTCGCGAATGTTTTTTTCCGCTATCCCTTAACGTGTATTAACGGAAGGCTGGTATGTTGATAATTTTAGTGATATTTTTAGTCTCAACGGAAAATATTACGAGCGGAGGTCGCGGACGTAGATCTTGCGTAAAGTAACAAATGAAATATATATATAAAAAAAAATTATAAATAATCATGAAGCTCCTTTCACTGGTCAACGCCGCGGTGCTATTAGCATGAACCTTCACGTAAATATGAGTGAAAATGAGAAAGCCAGGTAAACACGATACAGCGCTACTTTCTTCAGTCCGTACACTTATTTTCCAAAACCCCCTCCAACGAGCGTATAAGTGCAGTACGAAATACAAAAGGATCTCTCGAAGTCTGATAAATATTCACTAGGACCGACAGGATGCTGTCCAAGTAGAAGGCTGCAGGAAGAAAAAGAGATAAAAGTAGATGGAACCAAGCCAACGAAATTTTTTTTTTCTTTTTCATTTACATTCGCCAAGAAATTGGATTCCTCGCTGTAACAATAACTCGTACTAATTATACGTGATTTGCTTGATTATTTGAAGGGTACGAAATAGGAGTAACTTTCAATGAATTTCATATTCCATCTTACGATTGATTTAAAGTTTTTTTTAAAAGTGCGAATTAAATTTCGCCTTAACGTGCGCACTTCGATCGTAAGTTAATCAAGGCCAATGTTTAATTATACCGATTCGCCCTCTAGTCTTGCTAATTATCGAATACAGCCTGCTATTCATTTTAAAAAATTTAACCCGGCAAAGAATAAAACTGATATTGAAAAAATCAGAATAATTAAAACGTCAATTGACACTCCGTACAATTATGCAACGTGGATAACGAGATAAATTTTGACAAATAGTTTCACAGTTTTTACTCCGGATTGAAAAAAAAAAAATATTGTCCACGCGTGAAAAATGATGCATCACTGCACGAGATGAATAGTAGATATTATTGACCTTGATATTTATCAATTTTTGATATTCCACCAGAACGATTGTTTTATATATTTGCCATCGTAACGAATTAACGTCAACGCTGACGTCATAACGCTGACGTCGGATGAGGACTAAGCCCAACCCGTCATCAGTAAACTTCATGTTGGTACAATGTCCGGGAAGGGGAGGAAGGTGATAAACGAAACTCACCCCTCTGGCATAGTGCCTTGCAAGCACCATACCACCCTGTACCATCCAAACTTCCTATATAAGACTTTATATGTATACATAGTAGCTGTGCATATCATGGACTTTATACAGGGATGGATTTGAAGGGTTTATTCGAAATTTCGAACCCCTGTACCATAACCCCATATAAAAAGTTGGTTTCATCCTTTTCCCTTTACAGGCCTTCGAAGAGCTCGAGGAGCTTCTAGCCAAGCACAATATTTGCATTGCCATCAAGGAGAAATTGGTAAAGGACTCGGGAGTTGCTGAAGAAACCGCCTACGACAATATAGTGCAGAAACTGCTGACGAAACCACGAGCAAGGGGTAAGTCTGAATAAAACGATATACCCAAAAAACCCCGTTCCTTCGATTTTTCAAAATATCTTAAAACGCGCGTAAATCCTTGATGACACTGAATTATTTCAGGAGAAAAAAAATGCACAGACGTGACGTCACATACGTAAAAGTTCTCATAGAGAAATACACTTGTTCAAAAAATGATCTCGAGTCTATCGATATTGAATTTACAGTGATCCTCGGTGGACCTAAAACTCTGTGGATAACATGGTATTTCATCAAAAGTCCCCTAGACTCAAAATTCAAAACTGATAGAATGTTGCAGGAGAGTCGATAACTATTGCGGTACAAGTACTTGGCACGTGATACGTGGGTCGCGAAGTTTCCCGTGAGAACTCGATTGCAGGTAGCTTCAAAAGACTAAAATTCTCGAGTTGAAGAATTTTCAAGGGAAGATGTACGATTGGGAGATAAAGAAAAACTTTTTCAACTTCTTCTTCGTCCCTCCGCTTTAACAGTTTCCCTTTGTATTCTCCCTATGTCGATATACGTTCTTCTCGATTTCCAACGCCGCGTCCGAAACTCTGACTTCCCATTGAGGATTAGTATCACATCCCACAGGGATCCCACGCGCTACGACTATCTCCCTCCTTCTGCTCATATAAAACAGGATTGCCCATTTTGAGCTCGTGCTACCTCAAGGATAACGTATTATGGCCATTTTCCACTTAGCCCGCGAGAATCCGATTCCAAGTTCGGGTCGGGTAGCCTGAAAAAGCTACGACTTGGAAGATATGTCCAAAGTTCGCTTACGAGCGAAGGTTCACAATAAATACGGTGTGAAGTAGATATAGCCTAGGGGTTGCCGAGAATTATTGGTAGAATAGGGTTGAGAATAAAAAAATATTAAACGAGAGCATACGTACAAGAAACGGGGTCGGGATGAAACAATGGAGAAAGAAAAAACAGAAAGTTCTACGAATTTGGTGCAGTATTTCACGCGCTTATCCCTACCATCCCTTGGATCAATCCAATCAGAAGGTAGAAGTAAACGTAACGTAGC